AAGGGATTTGTAGCAATTAAGGTTAGTGCGCTGTTTGCAGCCGAAGTGGATTAACGGAGTAGTCGAATAGGTTGTTTGCTTCAAATGTACCATATTAAATTTAATTGAGTGTTTGATTAAACATAAAGAAATAAAATATAATAAGATCCTAACCATAATTTTAAGATAGAAATTTGCAAATTTTAAAATTAATTATTATAATGCCCAAGATTCAGACAAACTATTAAAATAATAATAATATAGTTATAAATAACATTAAATAAATATTTTAATCAAATTTTATTATATGGTTCCAATGATAAATATGTGGTTTGTTGTGCAAATGAAATTTGTCATAGAAAATTTTATACCATTGGTTTTTTTAGATTTAGAAAACCTAAGAGTTCGCATTTTATTTTATTTTACATTTTTCAGCTATCTATAAAAGTCATGAGAGATATCAATACTGTTTAAACATTATAAAAGTTAAAGAAATGTTGATTTTTATTAAATTTTTTTATTTTTAAAAATTTATTTGTAAGTCATATTACAACGTCAGAACGAAGAAGAAACAGAACTAACAGTCGTTAGTTGTAATATCAATTTTTTGAACTGATTCGATGAAATAATTTCATCTTTGGAATGGTTCGGAAAGGATCCACGATCTTTTTGTTCCGAGAAGCTTTGGAATCTCATCTCACTTGAATGTGAACGCTTTTACGTTCGATTACATTGCGTTTTCGTTCCAATCTGAGATTTAATTCTAGCATCCGTTTGGAATGAGTATGATACGGATTAAAGTATCTATGGATATTGTTATTTTTAGTTTAAATTAGTAAGGCTCTCATACGACTTTCCTACCTATTTCAGAAAAGTTTTTATATCTTTACATAAGTTCATGAAGAAACATAAAAAAAATTAGATTTATTTTCCTGAAAATTGATCTATGAAAAGATTTGAGTACGATTTATTTGATAAACTAAAGCAATGTAAACAGGCTTAAGGTAGATCAGTGTAAAAATTTCAATACTCTCCATAATGCTGATTAAAAACTTTTTGCCATAGCTTAATTTTGTCAAACAATAATTTCTGTTAAAAGTAGAGGAAATAGTGAAGCTTGTATGATGCGGGCAACAGATTTTCTTACTTTCACTTAAGTCATCGTTTTTCTCTCATTATATGGCTTTGTAGGGAATTTCATCACCTTTTAAAGGACAGGCTAAACGTATAAATCCGTCGAAAACCGCATATCGGAAATTTGACCCGATTGCAATACTTTCCTTACCTAGTATAGGTAGGAAAGCAATAAATTAAAACATATGTAGAAACTAGAATAAACTGTATCATCGTTAATACTGGTTCGATCCCGATGATTTTTTGGTAATTTAACTACCTTTCAAAAGTTTTATTATAAATTTTACCGTATAATATACACTTAACGAGTTAGACCCCAAAACATTTTTCTTTTCTTTATAAATTTTTTTCTTGAATTTTCTCGGAAATTTAGTCTATATGAGAAAATTGAAAGGACAGTTATTAGAATATTATAGGAAAGTTTCATGAAAATCGGTAGAGCTGTTTTCGTGCTACAGTCTATAGAAAAACATGTTTTTCATTTATTGCGGATGGAGCACCGAATTTCTGTCACAGGCATCAGTAGTGAAAACTCTACAAAAAGTAGCAATAAAATCGGTTCAGTAATTCCCGAGAAAATCTTGGAACAGACAGAACAATGGCTAAAAATGTGTTTTTCGGACTCAGGCAGCTGTGAAACGTATAGATCCTTCGAAAACTGCATATCGGAAATTTGATCCCATCGCAATACTTTCCTTACCTAGTATAGGAAAGAAAGTAAAAAAAACGGTAAAAACTTTATATAAATTAATTCAAAAATTGAAATATAAATACTGCCATGTTTAACTTACCAGCTGATAGTAGAGTCAGATGTTCGTTAATCAACATGCCACTTTTGAAAAGATTAGTTGACATGGAACCGAATAGGCCACTGTACTTAACATTTCTTTAACAATGATGTGCAAATTAGGGTAGTTGTTCTGCAGACTAAACCACTTAATGGGGTCCTTATTGTCGTATAAAATATTCTTTTCGAATTACTGTTTGTAGTAGTTGTTTAATTCAATCATTGCTTTTGATTCAGGTGTACATTTGAAGAATGTTGCTCTCGATCTCTCATCAATGTTAGTAAAACTTCCAGTTGGCTTTATTTTCTTAATTTTTCTGTACTCCTCTCCGTTTATCTTCATTTTCCTCAGCCTCAATGATTTTTCAGTCGTTTTAAATAGTTTTAGTATTACGCATATTTGCATTATTCTCTATCTCGGTTCATGTGTTGTTCGGAACGAAGATAAAACGGAACGAGAACTGAAACGAATTCCAGTGGTGGAAAATTCCAGAATCTTACCTATCATCCAAATCCCCTTGCACAATCTCTATTCTCTAATGATGAAAACCTGGAGGTTGAGCGTGATATTGGCCCCATCACTTCCCTGCACAACTGTTGGCCTTGAAACAGTACTTCCTCACATAGTACTGTACCTAAGACCCTTCATGGGTTGTAGTGGTACAGATTTTTTTTAATTTCTATTTATTGTAAATAAATAACAGGTTGTAATAAATTGACAGATTGTAATATTTATGAATATATAAGAATATAAAAAAAAAAATAATAGCAAATTAAAGAACTCTTAGCGGGGTTATCAGTACTCCAAGAATTTTTACTTTTTTTTTTTTTTTTTATTGAAAAATATTACAATCTGTCTCAAGGACATTTATAATAGTGTTAACAGATCAAATTCACACTCTATGTACAGTAAATAAAATAAATTATACAAAAAAATAACATATATACAATAAATAAGAATAAAATAACCTAAAAATAAATAAATAAAAAGAACACATACATACCTATATACAATAAAGGAATTAAAAAAAAAATTGAGAATAGGAGGCTAACTTCACAGAGCTGTAAAAATCTTATCACAACGCGCACTTTACTGTAGGTACGATTTACGATGCCATCTGTTATCTGCTCTCACCGACTGGTAATGAAATGACTACTGACCAACAATGCAGTAGTTTCCAAAAAAAAGTCGATTGACAGGCCTGCATGCGTGAAACTTCATTCAGGCTCAACATTTGTTAAATTTGGTCACCGGACCTTAGTTTTGGAAAACATCTCGTATATGGGTCGATTTTTTTTCTTGGATAAGTTCAATATTTCTCGGTTTTTCATCACAAACTGTACCATATTGAGCATCATGTATCCGTTGGCACTCATAACCATTATTATATACTCACATCACATGCGAAACGATAGTATCTATAGAAGTGATATTGGATAGCCAAGGTAATTAAAGACGGTGATTTCGGAAGATAATATACGCTAAATTTAGGAATAGGTTCGAGAAGTAGACTAAGACAGGAGAAATAAAATTATAAAAAGAGGACTGATTTTGTAAATGATGTTTTAAGTAGATAGAAGATGGGTGATTTAATTATTTAAAAATCATACATTTTATTTACACAAAATATATTAGATTTTTTTCCTTTAAAAGTAATGAACCTTGAAAATTATAATTTTTTTAATTTGCAAAAAAAATATATTTCAAGAATGAAAACGATAAAAAAAAATCAATGTAGATATCAATGACTTTAGCGAAAGATAAAACAGCTTTTCAATTGATACATTAAATTCGGAGATGGTAGTAATAAAAGTGATAAACACATCCTTCTTTGTCCACGAAGCCGTTTTTGGATGCATCATAACTCTGAAAATATTTAGAATAAGACAGTCATCGTTATTGGTTTTTTTTTTCAATGGTACAAGAGTAACATAATTTGCTCTTTTTCTTGAGAAGTTTTTGAGACCAAATAAAATTTATGTTCTAGGAGTTAAAATAAATGATTCGGTTGTCAGAGTTTATCCGGGATGAATTTGTTTTCCCAGAGTTGAGATCGATACAGCGAAAAATTACATTGATCACACTATAAATGGAATCTCTAAAAGTTATTATTACTTTATTAAGACGAGAACTGCCAGACTTCCTTTCGCTCAAGATTTATAAAAGAATCTCCAACAGGTTCTTTTCAGTTGAGGTCGGAGCCTTACCAAGCAGGGGTTCATATCTTTAGATATACATAACCGTAAAGTACGCGATGATGAACTGAAAAGAAGTATTGTTGAAGACTCGACCATAACTGGAAAGCATCTCTTCGGAGTTTTATATCTCTTGAGAGAATTGAATCAATAGTTGTGAAATATTTAAAATAGTTATTATTTTTAACAATTCCAATGAATCGTTTATTGAAAATTATTGATATTTTTGTCATTGAGTTGCATTATTTCTAGTATGAGAAATTCGATATGTGTAAAATGCGTTCTCTCCGTCTGTGCATTTATGGATACGCTCAACTAATTGTGATCAATATATTGGAGTAACACTTTTGCACTATATTGTACATGTTCCATTTTCAAATATGTATATAGTTAAATTATAACATATGCATCAATTTTTACCATATCTATATTCAACGGTGGTAATGGCCCACATGGTGGTTCTTCCACAAATGGATGGTGCATCATTCGTCTCTTCAACAAATACAAAAGATATGAAAGGTATTCATTCCTTCTTACTTTCTTCTCTACGTCACATTCTGGTTCGCTCAACTTAGTTACCCAACAACTTATTAGCATCATATCTACCAGTCAAACATAACATAATGAGAAAAATATATACATAGAAAACTATCTCACCTCAATAACCTACCAAGTTCATTTTCTAAAAAGGATATGTTATTTTTTATTTCAGACATCATCGTATTGAAGTCTAAATCGAGGTTTGAAGTATCCATTTCGTTAATTTTAAATTCAATGTTTACAAATTGATTTTGACAAATAATTTTGAGGTAAGTTGTTAAGAGATTGTGAATAAACATATGTCTTTTAGAAACTAAAAGAAACCAACAACATAAAAATCATACATTTTTAATGGGTTTATAACCTAATAATTACAATTTTGTTTCACTTTGTTTATCAATTGGCATAATAGAGGCCTGAAACAATAAAAATAGTATTAACATGGGATAATCAAGGAATGGAAATACTTAAACTTATTTTTCCTAGAAGCTTACAAAGAATCATCTGAGCTGTCTTTCAGCCCCAGTTCACTCATTATTCTGCGATGTATGTTTTCATCTCTTGAATATATAAAATCTGACTCTAAAATCAAGAATATAAATGATTTAAATAATTATTCTTTCTTAATTTTTTGAATTTTGAATCTAAATTCAACCTGAACTGAATATTGCACTAGTGTAGGAGTATCCGATCCACTGTAGATATTCACCAATTAATGAATTAATCAGATTCACTTCTGGCGTAATAATTGGTTTGGAAACTTTCTTTAAATCATGGATACCAAGCAATCTTAATACTTCACACCTAATTTCAGATCTTAACTTTCCCAAAACTCCATCACGTTCTAAACCACCTCTAACAGCTGAAATTAATTTAAATGAATTATAGCAGTATATTAAAACTTATATTGTAAAGGAATAATTCGAGGTCAAATACCTTCAACCAGTTTTTCTTCCATTTTATAACAGCACTGTCATCTATGTTAGGAGGAACAAACAAAATTTTATCTCCATGGCAACCATCATGGAAGCTATAGAATGCTATGGATACCATTTTACAAACAGGCATGTAATTATTTATTCGACAAAATAATATATTTTGTGCTTAAATTTAATTTAAATTAGAATTTCTCGATAATTTATATATTAATTTATTGATAACATGGTAATGAGATTGATTAAGCACAGCTTACTGATCACAGAGGAAGGTTAAAGTCAGTAAGGTTAGGGTTTATATCATGACAACTTGTTGCTGATTTCTGATTATTGTGTGATGTATTTCCTTTCCATTCGTTATTTATTAATTATGCTATTAACAATTCGATTTTAGTGATGTAAGAAAATAAGTTATACAAGTTATACCACTTCTTCATAGCTTAAATAATTTAAAAATGAATATTAACCCTTACGAAGTCCTAGGATGTACATCAGATGCTTCCTACAAGGAAATTAAAAGCCGATATCATAATCTGGTTTTAAAATGTCATCCTGATAAAAGCGACAGCAGTGATAATGGGAATCATTCATTTCAAGAAATTGATGAAGCCTGGAAAATATTAAGAGATCCCATTAAAAGGAAGGCTTATGATGAAGAAATAAGGCAGAGAATGTTAGAAGAACAAAGTTTATTGTTCGGTACATTCAAACTGGATGAATTAGAATATGATTCTTCAACCGAAACATACTCATGTGTTTGTAAGTGCGGTGGTGTTTATAGTTTTTCAAAACAGGGTTGTGAAAAATTTGATTCTTGTATAATAGACTGTGAACAATGTTCGTTAATGATTTCTGTTGATTTTGACTGATCTACGATTGAATTTGTTTAGTATGATGGACAAATAACTTCTGATTTTAATTCGGTGACTCTCGCTGTTATTGTTTTGTAAATTTGTGTTATGTTATTATGAACTACAGGGCTAATAGCTCATATTACATCTAAGAAGCTTTTAATTTATTTCTCTGTCTATAAAGAAAACTCTTCTGTTGTTCTGTCCATAATATGTAATTTGTGTAAATATGATGATAATAAACTTTATTTCTTCTTTCATGTATAAATAAAAATGTTCACATCCTTTCTACTTTCTCTAATATTTGTGGAATTCTCAAATTTATTATTTAATAATTTTGATTTACTTGCGTGGTCAATATATTTAAATTACATTGGAAAAATACCTCTACTGATATTAGTTACATGTTGTAGTTCTCTGTTTTATTTATTTTGAATTTTTTATGTTTCATTGTTTCATGGGATGTATGGTATTTTAACTAGTAATTACTTAAGTACGAAATATGTACTATTGAAAGTTGAGGATACTACGAAACAATTGTCATTCCAACATTTTGAATGAGCAAAACATCACATTGTCCAAATAAAAGTTTGTTCCTTAGTTTAAAGATGTCTTTTTTTATATATCTAATTTCTTATAGATTCAAATTTCATTTCATAAAAACAAACACCATATAATGTAGGTATTTGTTTTCATAGTGATTTCTAGTACAGGTTGTTAATACAGACACATGAGGTCATGCAGGCAAAACTGTGAACGGGGGCAAAGAGCTATGGACCCTGATTAATTATATATTAAAAAATTTCTTTGGTACTTATACATTATAAAATCTAATCTATTTAAAACATAATATCATATTTTAATTATATAGACAATGGCTGGTATTAAGAAAGGTGGAATATTAAGGTTTATGTTGATCAGTATATATTTATTTAAGACTTCATGTAATTAATTATATGTAATATAATTACTATAAAAATATTACTACTAAACACAGTTTATTGAAATCGGGAAATATCTTGAAAATATAAAGGTTCATTGCTGATTTAAAAAATATGCATGTCTACTTTGTGTCAATTGACCCCTCATCAAAAATAATAACAATAATAATAATACTTTATTTATTCTTGGACGAGTTCCTTTAACTTGGTCATTATTTATTAAAATGTTAAAGTTAGTCATCATTGTCCAAAACAACTATATCTGTACATTTGGACTGCAGCATGCTATTTTTTAGTTATGCTATCAATTATATTAACAGTGTATTCTCGACAGTTCTGACATTGTGTTGTATTTATATCTCAAGCAAAAAAAAAAAAAACTATATTTGACCATCTCTGACTATAAAATGTATCTTTTCTGAGTTATTTTCAAATAAACATTCTTTTCCTTCATAAGTTTTATCTTGAAAGTTTGAGAGAATGGGACTATTTTTCTCATCTGAAAGAGAAGAAAATCTTTAAAATGTTGGCTCCATCAATGGATTTGATGAAGAATTAACGGAGATATGGCATACCAACAATTGGAAAAAACCACTGAGAAGTAATATGTAAAGATATAATTTTCACTTACCTGCATATGAAATATATAGTATGGAAAATTAGGAAAGTATTGTGATCATGAAAAATTTTGAACCCGAATTTGAAAATTAATTTTCAACTGAAATACACTTCTTAAGATCTCTGAATCCAAGAAACTGGTCTGTGTGTCACTAGCGGATCCAGGATTTAATTTTGGTGGGGCTTCAGCTCGAAAGATTTTTTTTCCTCATATACATATAACGATAATTAATTTGAAAAAAAAAGGAAGAAATTAACTACCTATATGAAATGGTGTTTAAGTGGTTCCTGAAGTCCTATTAAATGTAATTACAGGAACAAGAATACTTTTAGAGATAGTTTTTAATAATTTTTTCTGTAAAACATGGTTATATTTTACCATTTTGGGGGGGCTTCAGCCTGAAAGCTCCCCTCCCCTCCCCCGTAGATCCGCCTGTGCTGTGTGTGAATAGTGTAGTAGTTAAGGTAGTTTTATAACTGAAAAATTGTAGCAAATTTTTGCCGAAATTATCCAGAACTATTACTTTTTATAATTGATTTTACACTTTTCTCAACAATATTAATCTAACAATATTTTTAAACACAATATATTTTATTTATAATTTAATAGTATTTCATTGGCATAGTTCTTGGAATTGTCAAAATGGATTTCTCTACAGTATCATTTAATTTTGTATATTTGAAGTAGTAATGTGAACACAGCACCAGCTTTTTTAAAATATTGATCAGTTATTTAAGATAAATTGTCATTACTTTTATCGGATAGTACTTAATACTGAAATGGTGGTGGGCTGGTTATAGAGCAAGTTTGTTTATCAATATGTGCTAGACTACAAACAATTACAAATATAACTAAAATATATAAATTTTTAAAGAATTTTTGTAATTTTTCTGAAATTCTCCTTTTTTAATCGGAATAGATAATTATAAATATATTTAAAAAAAAATTGTGTTCAAAGATAAACTATTTTTTGTTACATAGACTTATTTCCATTCTTACCAAATAATTATTATCATAGTTAAGAGAGAATCATGGCCTTAATTAAGTGATGGGCTGAAAATGTTGAATCATAGCTCCTTTTTCTCTGGTATAGTCAAGTGGCCTGATGCAAAACCTTCATTTTTTTTTTCTGTTGGCAATACAGAACTTTTGGCAATTAGTTCTTTTGCCACTTTATTCATCCTTCTCCATCTCTGCCTATTTTTGACTATTTCTTTCCAGTTGAGTTCTTGTAGCTCTATTGCATCTTTGTTGATTCTATCTACCCATCTAACTTTTGGTCTTCTGTTGAGGTATTCATTGTTGTGTGGAGGCTTCCAGATGGATTGCTCCAAACTAAATGCCCTGCCCTGCTTAATCTCTTTGCCTTCATATCGTATGATATTGATTTACCAGTTTCTCTAAGCAGCTGTTTATTAGTATTCTCCTCCATGTGTTAGTATTCTTATCCCAGATCGCTGCAGCAATCATATTTGCTTATAATAGACCTCCAGTATATACTTATGCAATCCATCCTTTGTACTCAATAAATTGTTAATCCAAGAGAGGTGTCCAATTGTGGTATTAAATAATATACAAATATTTTTGTTTTATGGTAAGTAAGTATTTGACTATTATTCTAATTTAAGAAGTTAGTAGGGATTGCGGTCAACAGACACATACTATGTATTTATTTTATTTGCCTAGATTTCACTGACATTGTATGTCTTCAACAGGGTGAGAAAAAGAAGAATATACAAAAATATTACTATTAATTGGTACAAGGTACAAAAACATAATATATCAATTAATATTAAATTAGTACAAGATACTAGATATCGGATCTATTGTATGGAGAGAGGGATGAATCATGAAAAGTGCACAATGAACATAAACAAAGTAAAATAAGACAACATAGATAGATTTTAATTTAAACAGTAAAAAAATGTAACAAAAATGAATTTTAATGTCAATAGAAATACAATATATTCGTATTATACATAGTGGTACAATATATTGTACATTATTGGTGTAATGTATCATATTGATAGAAATAGAATAAAACATATAGTATAACACAAAAAACAATAAATTATCACTAATGTGATGAAAATAAAAATAAGCAGGACATGAAAATTAATTTAGAATGTAAAATAAGATGTATTAATATTGGAAGGTACAAAATATGGTAATGAAGATTCTTTTTTTGTTTATAGTACTAATGGAAAGAATATGAGGACATTAATAAGAATAATACCTGGTATAGATGTTAAAAAATAGGTATACGGCCCCCCCTCCCCCATTAAAAATGTTAAGGGAACGAGAATATTGTTTCGCTCCCTCAATAATTTAAGGAAAAATAAAATTGATGATAAATAGCCTACAATACATAAATAAATAAAATATGTTAACTAAAATAAATTAAGAAAAGAAGAAGAGCTGACAAGGCTAAGACCTATAAAATAGTATATACCTGGTTAGGTATTTAATTATTTTACCACTACCTAAATATTCCTATTATTTAAATTTATATTCACGGATAATAATTCACCTCTCATGTGGAAACCTCCATGATTACGTGATTTTCTTATAAATTTTAGAGATAAAGTTGGAAAAAATATATTTTATAAGTA